AGCGGACTGGCTGGAGACAGGTTAAAGCTCCGAAGGGTTATTTCCTAAGCCCCCCGTCAGCCTGACTCTCCCATGGGAACGTAACGACTTCTGACCACAGTGCATGTCTGAGTGAGAGTGTAAGTGATGGAGAATGAGACCCGCGGGGAACAGACGCACTCCCCTGGCAAAGTAATCCCGTGTCCTGGGAAAACACTATCGTGGGCAGAGGTGGGCTGTAGATGGGTCTGGGTAGGAACATGGTGGCCTGTCTATTTAAAATGGCAAACGCACCAGAAAGAGAGTAAGGCAGTCATTCTAACCTTGCTAAACAAAAAATATTCCACAGGCCCTCTTGGGAAACTATTTTGCTTCCTGAGGTGGGAGTCACTTCTTAGAGGTCAGTGCACTTGGAGATTTTTCCCAGGCCAGACTCCAAGGAATACGTACACAGGCAGAGTAGACACAACTTGGAAAACGTCAAGTGCACATGGGACATTTGGGAACGGGCTCGAGTTTTCCACCGTCTCCCTTCGGACAAATGCACTAATAAACCCAGGAATTTCACTCTTGGGACTAACCGCAGACTCTTGGATTTCTAGGTTTCCTCCAGCTCTGCCTTTTTTTGTTTTTGATGAGCAACCTCACCCGTCATGGCGGTTTCCTCCTTTGTAAAATGGGGATGGCGGAGCCCACTGGAATTTGAAACACTGATGGCATAGCTTCAAGTCCAGCGGTTCGCAACCTTCCTCATGCTTTACATTTCTCAAGCTGAAAAACCTGAAGAAAAAAAAAAATCTTTTCAACAGTTTTCTTAGCACTTCATCCGCATGTCATAGAATTCAATCACTTAATCATCTCAAGGAAAGTTCTACTATTATCACCACATTCCATTTTAGAACCTATTCTTCTTCCTTGAGAAAAACTTTCAGCAAATTGGGCAAAACACTGGGACAATGCAGGAAGCACCCAAAGAAGATAGAAGGGATGCACAGAGTCCCTATAGCAAAAAAGAATTGGTCACAGCTAACCATTTCAGGAGATAGCCTATCAAGGTACGAATTGTATTAAGGAAGAAGTCCCAAGTGCATTGCGGGCATCGATGAAAAATACAAGTACAGGAAAAGATCCCTGCCCTGGGTGTTGTAGTGGTTATGAGGTGGGCTGCGATCTGCATGATCAGCCGTTCAAAACCACCAGCAGTTCCCTATGATAACGACTGGGCTTGTTACGCCAGTAAACAGTTATAGTCTCCAAAACCCACAGGGGGTCAGTATTGGGTTTGTGTGTGTGTGTGTGTGTGTGTCTGTCTGCTGTGTTGTGTGTTTTGAGAAAAAAGATCAATTGAGATCTTTCAACAAACAAGCACGAATGCTCCTGTAGAAGTAAAGATAACAAGACTCCAGGGCATGCCCTTTGGGGCATGCTCATGGGTAGGACCAGTGCCTGGAGGACATTATGCTTGATCGAGGATCGGTGATAAAAATGAAGGCCTTCAACAAGAAGGTTTGTCACAGCGGCTGCAACACAGTGCTCAAGCATGGTGGAGATGGCTTGGATGGTGCAGGACTCGGCAGTGGGTCCTTCTGTTATACAAGTGGTCACTATGAGCAGCAACAACTTACCCTACCAGCAAAACCAAAATGGGGATCATAAACCATCAACCTGTAAGGTTTTTTATGATTCAAAGGCAACACAGTACCTGGTCCCTGGGAGCACTCAATGGCTTATTTTCTTGCTGACCCCCTCTTCTATACGGACTAGGCCTTAGGTTCACAGATAGCCACTGCTTATGTGTAACCCTTAGGTGACCCATTATGGAACACAGGCTGCAGAACCGGCCACCGATGGGAGGTGCAACCATTGCACAAGTTGGGTAGGAAAAAGGTGTCAGGTTGAAAACTGCTTATGCTATGTGGGGAAAAGCAGTATATGAAATTACTTATATGATATAATTTACAGCTGGGTTAAACCAATGCTATACATAGGAAAATTTTATTTTTAAGGGCATGAAAACGCTGACATGCCATTAGGAAGTGTGGACTCGAGTAATGTTTAGTCTAAGTTCTCTATTTTCCAACGCTTTATAGAGTCGCGTGGCTTTAAAGTGAAAATGGATAAAACCTTATGTTTAAAATTATTTCAAAAGTCGCTTTCTGAATAGTCTGCCTCACGGCCCAAGGGGTGGGGAGAGGAGAGCTTTCCATCTGTTTTATTATTATCGTCAGGGAAGAGGCCCAGAGGGAAATAGAAAGCTACAATTTTCCGGGCCTGTAAAGTGGTGATGGTTCTGTGGAAGGTCCGAGAAACGAGCTTAGACTCTTCTCCATTTAGGATGCGCAGGAGGTGCCCACACTTGGACTCCTCACCCAAAGGTGGGAGGTTCGGGTTCACCAGAGGCCCCTGTGAAGAACGGGCTGGCGATCTCTTCCTCAAAAACCCAACCCTGAAAACCCCAGGGAGCACAGTCCTACTGGACACACAGGAAGCCTCCGTGAGTCAGGCTCGGGATGTTTCCTTCTGTTCAACAGTTAAACCTCATCAGCAATCCTGTGGGCGCTATCAACACTCCAGCTGGTCCTCCGGAGGGGAGCCACTGAGGCTATGGCAACAGAATGGCAGGTTCCGTATCTTCACCCCAAATAAAAAGGCTTTTTTTAAACAAAAAAAAGACAAGAAAAAGGCAGGCTCCAGTAAGAACCTGCTGGGGTGCTGGTGATGAACCAGATGAAGGTGTGTCTCCTCACCGCCACCACCCTCCAGCCCACCCCTCCCTCCCGAGTGCTCTTGAACTCAAAATGACCGTCTCTGCCTTTGCCTCACGCTGGGAGCCCAGTGCCGTGTCAGGAGCTGGAGAGAGGGTTGGGTGAGACTCGGTTCTTGCCCCCAATGGGCTTTCAGTCCCACGGAGTGCAGACTAGCAGGGTCACAATGCAATGCAACAAGGACCATGAGAGAATCAGAGTTGCTAACCGTCAGGGGGACCAATGTCAACTGTACGGTGAAGGTGGCGTCTGCAGGTTTGGAATAAGCAAACGCTTTGCTGGGCAGAAGGGCTGGGGATGAGGCTATTCCAAGCTGAAAACGGCAGGCTCCAAAGAGCTAAGAGAGGGCCTGACATGTTGGGAAAAGGTTCCGAAACCCAGTGGGGCTAGTGTTTCATGGAGTTCCGGTGGACAGCGGATCAGGCGTCAGCATGTGAACAATCAGAACGAAGGCATCTGGCCCAAGCCTTACAGGTGGACTGCCAGTGGAAGGTCTGAAGTAGGAGCCTAAGGCTGGTGCAAAGCGGAGGTTAAAGCAACCAGTGGCAACGGTATCCCAGGGGGCTTCAGAAAGTTGATGGAGAAATGAAATTAAAAGATGGTAGCATTTCCCCAAAGTTTTTGAAGCCCCCCTCACACCTGAGGTGGCTACAGTAGTCTAAGGCCCACCAAGGAGGGCTGTACCTAGGGCAGCGGTTCTCAACCTGTGGGTCTCGACCCCTTTGGGGGTCAAATGACCCTTTCACAGGGGCCGCCCGATTCATCACACTAGCAAAATTAGTGATGAAGTAGCAACAAAAATAAAATTATGGTTGGGGGGCTCACCACAAGGAACTGTATTAAAGGTTGTGGCATTAGGAAGGTTGAGAATCACTGAACTAGGGTCTTGCACTAGGAGTGGACAGAAGGAACCCATTCACCGATGTTTACCTGAGGCAGAGAGGGCCGCTTTGTGGACTAGTGGGACACGGAGAGTGAGAGGCAAGACATTTCGGCTTGAACTCAAATAGGAAAGCCAGGTGAAGTGGGTATGGTGGGGAAGGAGCAAAGCTAATGAACCCTTCGGAATAGGCTGAGAAAAGCCCGGGGTCATCTGGGCAGGTGATTAGAGCCGTCTGGCCTGATGGGTAAGCGTGTAATAACTGGCTGGAGATACCTCATGAGGCAGATGACAGCACAATAGTGCCCCAGGGGGGAACTTGAAATAGGTAACATCACCCAGGTGGCCTGCAGAACTGAATTTGGGGGATGAGGGATGCTCCCGGACCATCCTCAGAGCTAGATTCAACAGAGGGTTTACCGAGGCCCTGGATGCTGTGAAGAGTGTTTTCGTTTCCATGGCCACGCCTGAGCGGCTTACAGTTCGGCGTTTTTGTGGTGTCAGTTTTGCTGATCCTGGAAAAGCAGCAGTTTGGAGAAGGGGCCTTCAGAAGTGACAAACCGGCTGGGTTCCTGCCCATTCCTGGACTTGAAAGGAGTCCATCAGTTAACGTCTCTACACGGCCCCCACCCCCTTTTCCTGCTGCCCATGATGGCCGAGTTAAAACATGGTGTGGGGCTGGTTTCCCGCTTGTGTGAAACTATGAAGACCTGTATGTCACTGGTCCTTTATCACATATGCTCCATCAAAGGCCTCTTCCTGGTGAAGGTGTAGACCTACAGAACTTTAGCCTCGTTAGGTCCCAACTTGCATCATTTCTGAGCTAGAATTTCATTTTCAGAAAGTAATTTCAATCATCAAAGAGAGGACCAGGACTAGACAAAGATCTAAAGGGCAGGACCCATTTGTTGTCCTCATCCTGCTGCTAATAAGAACCCAACAAAGAGAGAACTAGTACAGGACATAACTGGACAGGGCAGAGACGGGCAAGCTCTCCAAAATGCAGGCACCCCTGAAGTCAAAACCCCCAACCACAGTTGCGCTTGACTAGTTGCGATGTCTCGGCCAGCAGGGTGCGCTCTCTCAAGCTCGAGCTGCATGGGATGGAATGAGTAACAGCAGCTGACAGATCAGACAGGCTCCTGGCAGCAGTGTGTTTGTGCTGACAGAGGAGGAGGGGTGAGGACTGCGCCCGTGAAGCACGTCAGCAATAACGTTGACTTGTAGACGTAGAAATGTGTACGTCGTTGAATTGTACGTGTCTAACTGGTGAACGGGCGTATGCTTGCTGTGCACAGTCTCAACAACAAATATAACACATTACAAAACAAAATGCAGCATCCTCCCCCCAGTCTTCTAATTGACGGAGAGTGGAACAAGTCTAAATAACAATTTTATTTTAATCTACAGCACAAGATTTCTTTTTTACATACATTTTAGTGGTTTTTGACAGTGTTACTTTTGAGCAGACGAAATGAGTTCACAAAAAGTAAATATATTATATCGACATAAGATACACAGTAAAACAGCAGGCAACCAGCTGTTCAGGATCAGGCATGCAGAAGGGGGTCTGTGGGTACAATCACTGGGCTCCCAGCCTATTTCATAAGACACCAGCAGGTACCCATTCTTCGTCCTTCCCATAGGATTCACAATCAGAGCATTCTCCACATACACCCACTGAATAAACCCTCTTTTGAGTCACATCAGTACAAAAACGGAACCAGCATGCTTACACACGTGGCTAGGTTTAACCATTTTATCAAACCCGCTACTAGAACACAGGTCTCTGGCATCCCATCTGCAGGGAAAGTGGTTTCCCTTACTGAAACACCATGAGGAGAGCTGAATCAACAGAGCAACGAATACACCAATCTTAATATAAGACATGGAGAAAGTCAAAAATAGCACGTTAACCACCACTCCCGAGCCCGCATACAGTCATGGGCTCAAGCTGTGTGAGTTTCCATTTGGGCCCACGCGGCTTAAACACTTTGTATTTAGAAAGGAAAACAATCAAGGTGTTTGGGGAGATGCCGAGGAAAGGTGCACGTGTGAATGTCTGTGTCTAAGCCCACACTCTGAAACAAACACCCAATGGGTGGTGTGGGGCAGAGACAGTGACCTAACGGAGCAGGGCAGGAACGCACGCAGTCAGCGTCTTTCTACAACGCTCCTCAGCAGCACGATCACGGTACGGGTGTGCCCACTCGCCCACCCCGGAGGGAGGCCCTGAAGAAAGCAGGGCCAAGGCAGAGAGTGGCCATGTCGGCACCTGGGGGAAGAGTGAACGGTATCAACGTACTTCTCCATCATGGCCAACCACACCAGGTGTGGGGGCGGCCAGAGCAGCACTGAATTCAGAAGGAGGGGGCTGGCAGAAAAGTTTGGAGAAAAAGTGTGAGTTTTTTACAAATTGGTAATTTCTCCACGCGTCATAAAACGGTCCGAAGAGGTATGAGGCTTGCTCCTTTGTGGAATGTTGACTGCTTGCTGCAGGAAGTCACACCATGCATGAACCGCAGAGGCGCACTTCAACAAAAGTTGTTTTTTTAAAAAAAGTTACCAAAAAACTAAAATTCTCTTTAAAAAATAACCATGTTGTGCGCCAGGATGAAGCATGGTAAAAAAAGTCATGTTTTAATCCTGTCCATGATTCTTTACACAGCGTGGGAAAGCGATAGAAATATTCTTTTGTTTTGTGTTCTTAAAAAGGAAGCTTTGTTAATTGCACTGGCCATTTAACAAGCTGACCTAGGAGTGTAGAAAAAACCATGTAGTAAAATCTGTAAAATGAAAATACAAAATTCTGGTTTTGTAAACATCAGTTGGCCAAGTCTACCCAGTGTCCTTCATGAGTGTGGAATGGAATGGGTGAAGAATTCCCTAGATCCGTGTGTTTGCTGTGAGGGGAAAGCCAGCACACAGCTCCCACACGTTCACAGTCAGTGTATTCAAAAGATACAAAATCAGTGCCATGGTCTTTTGTGTTCCCCCGGCGCACCCCGCTTCCTTTCTGGTCTTTCCTGGGCAATCTCAGCGCTCACCCTGCCCCTCCCATGTGCCATGATAGACATAATACTGGTGTGGAGACCTAGCACAAACGGGTCATAAGTGCCGCCTAAAGTCTGTGGGGCTTCGGTAAAGGTACTTCCAAATGGCGTAGTAATGCACCGCAGCTGCCGTGGCCACAAACAGGTGCCAGATGGCGTGGGCGAATGGGATGATGCCGTCGCTCTTGAAGAAGACGACTCCCAAACAGTAAATCAAGCCCCCGCAGGCCAGTTCGTGGAGTCCGTCGGTGTTATTCTGTCAATAGCGGGAAGAAACAAAGAGGCGAGCTGTTACTCCGATTGTGCAAGGCTACCAAGGTAACTGCCACCCCACGAGCCGCCCGTTTTGCCAGAATCAAGCAAACAAAACTCTGTAAACTGGAGTCAAACAGAGGGCACCTGCCCCTTTGGCACTTTGCTCAAGGGAAACCGCGATTTGACCCAGTGCGATCCCCGTGCAGGCCATTCGACAGAGCAGCACACTTATGTGGAAAGCACCCTGCTGGCACTGTGGTCACACGTGCGTTTCCCTTCTGTACAGATGACCACCTAGGAAACCCTGTGGGGCAGTGGGTTTTCCTCATGGTGTGTTTAAGCAGACTGTAATGATGGCCACGTCACCAGCAAAGGCCAGTCACTAAAACAGGCCATTGTGCTTGGGAAAGGGTCAGCAAAACTGTGGAAAGCCCTCAGCGAGATGGACAGATCAGCTGCAACAAGGACTCAGGCATCCCAAAGGTTTCTCCCTCTGTCGTGTGTGATGTCACCAACTGGCAGCAACAGTTGGGGCTGCACAGGGCCGTTCATTTTAATAGAGGATGGCCCCTCCCTTCGATAGCTGCCTTACTGACTCTAGCACACCACAGCCTTCCATCAAGAGCGTCCACCTCAGCCTCGGCCTTCACTTCCCTCTGCTCTCCGCTAACCCTGTTCTGCACGGAGACTTCCTCCGCCGGCCACAGGAAAATCATAGCTCCCACGACCTCGGAGATCACAAGCTACTGGGTGCAGAGTACTGCCTAACTTCCAGTCTGCTATCTGGGCTCTTCTTAGCTGAGAGGGCAACGAACAGATTTGTGTGTGTGTGTGTGTGTGTTATACGGGGGAAGTCAGACGTTTTTTTGGCTGCCTCTTAAGTTTGTAAAGACCCAGGCCTGTCTATAAGGCCTGTAGGAATGAACGAGCAGAGAACAGAAGGTGGGAAGTCTAAGAGCCTTGGGAGATATGAAAACTGAATGTCATGTGGTATCCTGAATAGGATTCTTGAACAGAAAAAGGACTTTAGAACAAAACTAGGGTAATCTGAATAAAGTATACATGTGAATTAATAATACTTTGTTCATTATAATCACCATATTCATCAGTAGGAGAAATTGAGGGTGGGGTCTATGAGTACTCTGTACCATTGTTGCAACTCCTCTGAAAACTGGAAAGTATTCTAACATAAAAAGTTTAGTGTTCAATGATGGTTAGTTTATATAAAGTATAACACCTGTCTGAAGTGAACTGTACATGTTCTGATGAATGTAACCAACACCCCATTGAGATACACAACTATCTCAACCCTCCAGAAAGTCCCCATCCCAGTCTCAGACATCCCTGCCACCAAGGCAATCACTGTCCTTATTACTACCACCAGAGAGCAGGTTCTAGCTGTTCTACAACTTCACGGAACGGAATTCGTATATATACTGTGTACATTTTTATGTGTGTTGAGTCACTTAATGTAATTTATCAATTCGTTCATCTTATGACTATGATAAAGTTAATATTTACATTCTTTTACAAGTCTTTTTGCAGATAAATATTTTCAAGTAATACCTGAATGGGAAAACCGTTAGGTCATAGGGTTAAGTTTAAAATTTTTTTGGTAAGTTTCATTTTTAAAGAAATTGATCAACCACTTTGTGAAATGGTTACATCATTTTACATGGAGGCTTGGTGGCACTGCAGTTACGCATCCAGCTACTAACTCCAAAGCCAGTGTTTCGAATTTCACCAGCAGCTCCATGGGTGAAAAGACGTGGTGATCAGCTCGTGTAAGAATTACAGCCAACCAACCTCCACGAGGCAGTTCTCCCCGAGGTTATGACTCAGGATGAGCCTGATGGCACTGCACCGCAATCAGGGGAACTGGACTGGGGGGTATGGAAAATCTGTGCCCTTGCACCAGCCTATCATTTCATATGCACACCAACAGTGCAGTACTGTTCCAGTTCCCTCATCTCCCTGACAGCATTTGAAGCGGTCAGTCTTTTAAAGTTTGTGACATACTGGCTATATAGTGGTAGCTCCTTGTGATTGTAATTCTCATTTCCCTAATTTCACTGATGACTGATAATGAGCACGTTTTCTACGACTTGCTGGATACATATATCTTTATTGATAAAGTTCTGTTCGTCTTTTATCCTCTTTTATAAGATGGTCTTTTTATTCCTGAGTTGTAGTCTTTTAAAGCAATTCTTCCAGAGGGACACAAAAGGTCAATTGGTGTAACAAAGTTATTCGCAAAGGTAATGTTTTATAACCTAATTTGGTGAGCAGGGCATGGGGCCATAAAAGCTCCTGAGTAGCTAACTAAGGTGTGATGAAGTTAGAAAAGACACATGGAAACAATTAACCCAATGCACTCATAGACAATGCGAACATCAGTCTCCACATTTCTGAGACCAGAAGAACTAGATGCGGCCCAGTTACCATGACCACTTGCTCCAAAAGGATCACATTAGAAGGTCCTGGGTAGATGGGAAGAACGGTACTCAACACTATAAAAGAGATTAGGTTTATTAGTTGGACAAAAACTGGGAAAATCTCCAAGATATGGAAAAGAGATGCAAGGACTCCTACTTCACCCCTCTTCTAGAGGAGTTTGGTGCTTGCTCTGGGTCTCTTCCTTCTCCATAGGACTTTGGTAATTAGTTTCCCAAAGAAAGAAATGGGGCTGGAATCTGGATTTGAATTACATCGTATTTACGGATTGCTTTAGGTAGTATTTTCACTATATTGTCTTCCTATCTATGAACATGGTATATTGTTCCATTTATGACCGTCCTTTGGTTTCTTGGAACAGCATTCTTTAGTTTTGTGACCTTTTGTTTCTTTGGTTAGTTTAATTCCTAAGTATTCATCTTTTGTGCGGCTATTATAAATGGTATTGTTTTCTTGATGTCTTCTTTGTAGCCTTTTGTTGGTATATGAGAGTCTGATTCATTTCTCTTCTTTAATCTTGTATCCTGCTACTGTACCAAATCCCTTGTTTTTCTCCAACCATCTTTTTTATGGAGTCCTTGAGGCTCATTATATAAAAACCATGTCATCTACAAACAATGAGAGTTTTATTTCTTCTTTGTCTACATTCCCTTGATTTCTATCCATTGTTCCTGGTTAACATTTCTAGTACAATGTTGATAAGAGTGGGTATAGGGGGCATCCTTGTTTAGTTCCCATTCTCAGGAGAAATGTTTTATTTCTCCCTATTGAGTGTGATGTTAACTATTGGCTTTTAATATATGGCCTTTGTTAAGGGATTCCTATTTTATTGTTTTTATTAGAAATGGGTGTTGGATATTGTCAAAGGCCTTTCTAAATCTATTGATATGATCATGTGGTTCTTCTTCCTTGTCTTATGTGGTGGCGTGTGCTAATTATTTTTTAAATTTTGATCTATCCTTGCATCCTTGGCATGAATCTCGGTGGTACTGCATGATATGATGTGGTGTTGGAGTCTATTAGCCAGAATTTTGAGAATTTTAGTATCTATGTTCATGAGGGATAGTGGTTTGTGGTTTTCTGTCTTTGTATGGTGTTTGCCTGTTTTGGGAATTAGGAATATGCTTTGCTTTGGAGACTGTTTGGGAGTTTGTTATCAGTTTCTATATTCTAGAATAGTTAATGCAGAATTGGTGACAGTTCTTTGTTAAAAGTTTAGAATTCCACTACGAAGCCATGCAGGTCTCAGGCTTTTCTTGGTTGGGAGTTTTTTATTTTCTCTATTTCTTCCTTTGTTACAGATCTGTTGAGGTTTTCTGCTTCCATCTGTGTTAATTGGCGTAGACAGTGAATCTTCAGGTCAGTGGTTCTCAACCTTTCTAATGCCTCAACCTTTTCAGTTTCTCATGTTGTGGTGACCCCCAACATTAAATTATTTTCACTGCTACTTCATAACTGTAATTTTGCTACTGTTACGAATCGGGCGACCCCTGTGAAAGGGTTGTTCGCCCCCAAAGGGGTCGTGACCCACAGGCTGAGAACCACTGCTCTTCATCCATTTCCTCTAGGCCAGCACACTTGTTTCAGTGCAGTCTTTCACAGCAGTGTGCTATTATGTTTCCCTTTTGTCTGAGGCTGTGGTGATATCCCCTTTTCATCTCATTGTCAGCTTCCATTCAGCTCTATCATGTATTTCAAACTAACTTCTGTGCAGGAAATGAAGTTGAGGTTCATGGTTTGGCACAGAGAGATTCTGTTGTTTCACACAATTTGTTGACAAGGCTTCCCATCTCCCATTCAATTTCTTTGGTGTTTTGTTGAAAACCAATTCTCCATATAAATGTGAGTCTATTTTTGTACTCATCTCGAGGTCCCATTTATCTATTGTCTATCTTTAACACTGTACTGCCTGGATTATTATAGCTTCATGGTTAAGTCTTAAAACAAGGTAGCACGTAAGTCCTTCAACTTTGTACTTTTTTGAAATAGTGTTGGCTATTCTAGGTCCTTGCGATTTCCAAATCATTTTTGATAGGGACTGTGTTAACTTTATGGATCAATTTGGGGGGATTAACATCTTAATGACATTGGCTATTCCAATTCACGGGCATGTCTGCTGCCTAATTGTTAGTTCTTTAACTTCCTCGGTATTTTGTAGCTTTCCATGTAGACCTTTTGTGTCTTTCATTAAATGCATCGCTGTGTTTTTCTTATGTTATGGCTGTTTTCCAGCTGCTAATTCCCAGTGCAATGGGCGTGAAGAAGTACTTGGAACGGTGAAATTAAAACTAAGGGCTTTTCTCCACGAACTTTGTGACGCCCTTCATATATGTAAATATATTTGATTGTTGTACTTTGACCTTAGATCTTGCTTATTCTTTTCCTTTTGGTAACTTTTTGTAGAATCCTTAAGATTTTCTATATGACCTATTCCCTCGGCAAATAAAGATGAAAATTCATAGTGTGAGAAGCAAATAGCTGCTATACCAAGGGTATAGAACTGACAGACTTTGGTTCGGGTCTTTTGCCTTCAGGGAGCCCAATGAATGGTGGCCTGGGACTGTCGCATACTTGCTATTTTAACGCCTTCTTTGCTTTGTTGCGATGCTAATCTCGTAGGCCTGGTTCTGCTACTGTCAAATGAATATCACTAGAAGTGTTGACTCATCGCCAACCCCCATTGTGTAAACAGTGTCCAGTCACTTAAGAATTTAATCTGAACAATAATTCATATATTGCAGTTTGTAGCCAGCTTATATTTGTATAATCTCCATTACTCAACTGCGCTATAAATGCTATACCTTTGGCTAAATTAATGAAACAGTCAATAGGATTACCTTATACTCCAGGGAAACAACTGATAATGTTCTCTAACATAAAATGACAATGATGTCTCTAGGGTGAACCAGACACAGCTATAAACAATGGATATATGAATGGATCTTCTGCTTGCACTTAATTCTAACCCCAATCTAAGACCAATTAGTTCTTATGACATGGCCCTGCTTGATACTTGCCCTAATGAAGAGATCACTGACGATATGAGTGCGATAGCCAAGTGTGGTGAAGAAACTAGATAGTGCCAGGCTATCATAGAGAACAGCATCTGGGGCCTTAAAAGATCGTCTTCAAATCAGCAGCCATCTAAGTCCACATGGGAGAGGCACACTAGTCTGTGTGATCCAGGATTGAAAGCAGTATAATCCAAATCTGAAGGAGTAGTATCAGAGCTTAAATTGTGAACACTCGGTTTGCAGAAGGACTCAGATGACCTTCTGCAGAAGGACTCAGATGACTCAGTGGACCATAGGGTCCACACATAAATTAAGCCTCTGGTGACTACCTTGTGACCACAGTCAAGGAATGTGAATAGCCAGTCTTGTTATACGACCTAGTATTGTAGAGATGATTATAGTAGATAGGTCAAAATGTAACATCCTATTTGATGTCTTTTTGACTTACCGTATATGCTCATGTACAAGCTGAGTTTTTCAGAACATTTTTTAATGAAGTTTTTTTGGTAAAATTAGGTGCCTCGGCTGATATTCAAGTGGGCTTAGACCCGAGTATATACAGTATTTAGATGTTCTATGAGTTTTAAAAAAAGTGAAGGAAATAGATGTGGATTAAGCCTCCAGTGAATCCCCGCTGAACATAAACTGGGAATATGAAAACAGGAGCACAAAATTTAAAATTTCGAATTAACAGATGCATATAGCTACCCAGCTTCTTTCTTTTTTTCAGTAGACAGCATGTTTTAAGAACCTCGTCCATTTTATCTGAGTTGCTGTATGTGTGCTATAAAGTTACTCATAATATTCCTTTATTATCCTTTCATATTTGTACTTTAAAAATAAACACATTATTCCTTTTTCCACTAACATTAATATTGTTTTCTCGATTTCTTATTAAGTAATACCTGTTTCAACAATTGTATCAATCTTTCCAAAGAGCCAACTTTTGATTTTGTTTGCTCAATCTTTTACACATTGCTTTCTTAATTTCTGTTCTTTACTTGCAGCTATTGTGAGGTTAATGTGTTCATTGTTCCTAGGTTAAGGGGGAAGCAGATTACTAATTTTAAAACGTTCTTTTCTAATATAAGAACTGTGGTAGTGCCATTACACAAGTTTTGTTGGGTTGTGTTTTCATGATTACTCTGTTCAAACTATTTTCTAATTTCTTTCTGATGTATCCCTTGATTCATGAGATTATTTAGAAATGCACTGTTTAGTTTTCAGAGTTAGAGACTTTCTACATCTTTGTTGTATGCTTTCAATTATATTACACTTATTGGGGGTTATTTTAAGGCCTAATCTTTTTGATCTTGGTGACTCTATAAGACAGAGTAGAACTGCCCCTAAGGGTTTCCAAAACTGTAACTCTTCACGGGAGTAGAGCACTTCATCTTTCTCCTCGGGGAGCGGCTGGTGGTTTCAAACTGCTGCCCTCCCGGTTAGCAGCCCAGTGCACCAGGGTTCTTAAGTGGTTGGGTATAGGTTTTGAAATGTAATTATGGTCGGTAAAATTGGTGATAATGTTGCTCAAATCTGTGATCCCTACTGTTTTTGTGGCTCACATGTGTCATTACTTACTCAGTTGAGAGAGAAGTGTCAAAATCTCTAACCACGCTGGAAACCCGTCTCGTTAGTCCGTTGGATTTTGCTCCGTGTGTTTTGGAGCTCTCTTACTAGGTGCACAAACATGTAGGGCTCTTGTATCATTCTGATGCAATAACCCTTCAATCATTATGAAAGGCGCATCTTAATTCTTATACTGGTGTCTACTTTGCATATTATTATAGCCACTTGAGCTTGCTTCATGATTAGTATAAGCACACCTTCATCATAATAGCTCTTTATTAGACTCCCCACACACATACCTAAGAGTCTTACAACAATGTACTTCCACTTTCCCACCCTGTTGCGTTGTTGAATATATTCTCCTCCTACCTGTTACAGACCCACCGGATGTTTTGAGGAAACTAAGGAATGAGGAATAGTCTCTTATGATTACTAGCTCCCTGGCTTGGTCCCAAGAGATCTGTGCGAACTGCACAATAACCCTAGTACACGCACATGCACTCACACAAGTGGAAACAATGATCTGGTTTCAATTCTTCTAAGATGCCAGCACTTCGGTCCGACTGGAGGCTTCTGGCATGCTGTATTCTCCTGGTTTGCACTTCCTGTGGTAGCGATGTCTGGCATGTGCGCCCACCCCTACCTGTACTTTTCCCAAGTGCCTTATAGTTTCTTTAACAAGAACTGCGCTTTCCTGCTTTATTCACATTCTGTGAAGGGAAGCGTGGGGATGGCCTTGCTTGATTACATAAATATCAGCTACTGACTACTGCACCACTGATGAAAAGGCCAATTAAAGAATTAGACTAGTAAAAATTCTGGATAAACCTGTTTTTGCAATACCCAGAGGGAGTTTACTTGGGAGTTCTACCACCAGGAAGGACTGCAACCCATTTACATAAACTTTTTGGTGCCCTGAATCACCCGACACTCGACGTCCTTCACGGCAGTTTCTTGGATCTGTTACTATTCCCTGTTGACATCACCAACTAAACTATATGTTTTCTATGCTAACTTTTCCATTAAAATCATCATCAACTTCGTATTTCAAAGAAAAATATTTTGTGAGATTCTCACAAAGCGTCTTCTGAAAAATAAAAACCAATATACACTCCCCCCTCCATCCCACCCCCCAGGAGTCCTTGCACAGGTCTTCCCATGGCGAAGCCCCAACTGTGTAATTTCTTCCTTAAAATGTGCCTATGAGCTCAGGAATGAAATTCCAGGTACCAATGCTGGGGGGGAAGAGAGCTTAAGCTACGCATGTTGTGATCTTCTTAGTATGGTGTTGTTCTTAGAAGTGGACACATACAACAGAGTAGAGCTACCCCAAAAGGGCTTTCTGGAAGCAGACTGTCTGGTCTTTCTCCCCCGGGCTGCCGAGTGAGTCTGCCACGCCCACCTTCTGGTTGGCAGCTGAGCCCTGAGCTGTTCTGCTGTCGGAGACCCCACATAGAGCCATGCCCAGTCAGCTTGGATTCAACGGCAGAAGGTGCCATGGGGTTTGGGTTTTTAATGTCACAATATGTATCTGACACTGTGCACACAAGCAAAAGGCACAAGTAACCCATGGGAGAAGATCCTGAGGTTGTAATGATACGTTTTTGTTTCTAATGGAGAGACAGACACTGACTTCTCAAGTATAATTCAACTTGAAAGGGAGCTCAAGAAAATACATGCAATACGAAAGGGGGTACTGTTCCCCTTCGACTCCTGCAAATCCCCCAAAGAAATTTTCCAGCAATGTTTAAAAACAACAGCAAATACTTTCCTGGGGGGAAAACCAGCATGACATAAAGGCAGTGGAAAGAAGTGTAGGGATTTCAAAAATATCAGGGAGGAGAGTGGACAGATGACAAGTTACCATCTTTCCCATTCTGGGTTTCAGAGTTCCACAATTTACACAGTCTTCAGAGTAAGAAACCTCAAGCTTTACCCTCTTCTATAGAATGAGTGTTAAGACAACTGGTAATTCAATCAGAAACACTCAGCGTAATACAATCAAATGCTTCTTTTGGAGGAAAAGGGTAGAGCTGAGGGTAGGAAAAAAAGAAAGGCTCACCGAAAACAACAGAAGGGGAAAGTCTAAATCTATGGATGGGCCAAACTAGAAGGTATTTAATGAACGACACTAGCACTTTATTGGTATATTTCTCTTTTGAGTACTTCATTAATGGAAGTGCTTCCACTCGAGTAAGGACTGTCAGGTATGATGTCTATCACTGCAGTCGAGCCCTACATAGAAAAAGCGAAGTGAAAGAGCTAACGTCATGAAGCCACTTCTTACCATTGACGTCACCACCAATGCTGGAGAAAATCCCATTGTGAGATAGAAAAAGAGCTCGATCACCTTATACCTGCAAGAACAGATATGCAGCTAATTTATCTATTTCCTTAGCACTGGGACCACCCTACCAGTTTGTCCTTTTGAAAAAGATCTGTAAGCTCTTAATGATCCCAATGAAAATACCATAATTGCACCAACAATGAACCTGCATTTCTTTCAAGACTTGAAACCAAACTCACCCTGGTAGACTACCTGGAAAGTGTGCTCTGCCACAACTAGCCCCGGCTGGATCCCATCTGTCTGGCATTTCCCCGCGTTCGATCCTTAAGTGCTTGCCTACATTTTTATTCCAATCCAGAGACAGTAGAACTGAGAATGTGCGGAGGGACTGGCCCAGTCCACCAGCCGCCAAGGAGACACAGCCCTCAGGAAAGAAGGGCATACACTTTCATTGTCTCTCAACTGCAGCTGCACATACTCCCAACTTGTAAAGTTCACCCCACTAGGCTGCAGAATGTTTGATAACACTAGGAACCAATTAAAGTTAAAGTTGCATTTCCGGCTCATCAAACTAGACTAAATTTCGCAGGTAGGAACCAGGCTTTGTTTGTACCTATACACAGCTCATGCCTGGTGTTTTAAACCCAAAGCCGACCATGTTACAACCATATTACAGATTTAGAAAGAATGGGTTGAAGTGCTTGGTTTATACCAGAAGGCCTAGAAACGATAGTTGCTTGACCTCACCTCCTATTTTATCCAAGGGCATACATTCGGGTCTTGAGCCCAAGGAAGGTTACTTGCAGGAGACTACAAAAAGTTCATGGGAAAAATTCCATTTTCTTGCATTCCCATTTTTCCCACAAACTTTGTATATTGCATAATGTCTCTTAGAATGGCCAATTATGATCAAAAAGTCTTTCAGTTGATTGTGACAGCCAGAGAGAAACTAGTCAAACTACCATTTTCTTCTAAAAAGCAAAAGTACTTTAATGCTATGTGATAACACAAATTAGAGTCCATTCTGAGAGTCATCTGCCAACCACAGTAAATACAGAATTTCACAATGACACCGAAGACAATGATTTCATGCTTGCACGTTTCTCAGATGCAGGCATATGAGGTCAAGGAAAGCACCCCGGACTAGCAGCTAGGATGAGGCACTGATCTGACGCATGTCCTAGATGTCTTGATTCTTCATGCCTGAATTTAGACTAGATGACCGAGGGTCTCCTCTAGAGCTGAGATGTGAAGCTGCAGCAAGTTTTCCTTTACATATTGCCCAGTGCTTCTAACTGTGAACTATGAATAATCAGTTTAACAACGATGCCCATGGCTGGACTACTCAGAATTTAGATGTCCTGCCAAGCATCCCCTTTCTCAGGGAATTCTATCTCAGCAAGTGTTGTGCCGGACACATCTTCTCTAAGGTTGTTAACCTTTGTGGTCATTTTTTCCTAGTGCTAACTGTGGACTACAGAGGCCACGGCTAGTTTGTCCTTAGGCTACTTCATGTGTCTTGGGTTGTGAAACCAGGCCCAGGCAACACCAGAGTGACTGGTCACGCGGCCTCTTTGAATTACATCAGCTCAGACATGCCATCTGTTTCCTCCCCAAACAGTCAGTTCACCAATAATGAACGTCAAATGGCTCCAAACAGTCATTAAAGCAATATATATTCTATTTATGTATTTCTGCTATTTTGAAGCACAAATTAAACAAGTAAACAGGGTTTTACTATAGATACAATTTAGGCAGTACATTTTAAATCTACCAAGTGTAATTATTTTTTTCTTACTTTTCATGGTAGAGAAATACATAAATGGTTCCTCCAGCTGCCATGAGCCAGATAAACCAACGCATATGAGATGCCAGGGGTCCAAGTTCACGGAGGTTTAACCTAAAAGTGGAAATGTGACAACAAAGAAGAGTGATAAATGAAGGGAATTCATAGACCTTGGGTTTTCCTCGAGTGTTGGAAAAGTGGGCAAGGGGGGCAATGTGGGTAAAATTAATAACTCAAAGACACAACTGTCAGTCAACCTTTAAGAACTCAGAATTAGTTCCAAGGAGGTTTAGATATAGAATCAGCTAAAAGCAGGTGTGGAGAAGTGGGTCCCAGCACACCTGTGCTGCCCAACCTTCCTTATTCAGTAGACTATGGTAAAGAACACCTGCCTTCTAATTTCTGACGACATATTTGGGGACAGGTTGCTGACAAAGCAGTAAGAGAAGCCGGAACGATGTCCCGACCGGGGATCACATAGCCACAGCCGATACCTAATACACAGGCCAGTGTCTCCGTTACCCAGCTCTCCGCCAAGAGAGAACCTGAGAAGGAACACCCCGACCGTACACACTGGAAGACAGCGAGTTAGCATCTAACTGTGCACTGGTATGATGTCTGGGTTTTACAGTGCTGTCAACTCTTCTAATTTTGTAACGCAGATACATCTATGAGGGTGGGGTGAGAAGGTGGTTCTGAGTGGCTATGACTATTCAAGTCTTGTTACCAAGTGGAAAAGGTAGTCCATGTACAGCTGGAACTACATAGGCACAAATCCCCCACTTCAAAATTCAATTCCTCGGCTGCATTTTTAAAAAGTGTTCCGTTTCTAACTGTAAACTCAGGTCTACTTCATAATAGGAAGCCAGCCTGTTATTTAGTAGGCTTGTTGGGCAGGGAGATACCTCGGCTTGGTAGGTTTCCTTAGAAGCCCCTGCTCGCTGAAATCCAGGTCTGTTCCTTGTGACTGCGATGATCGAGGGCATACAGTGAACTCTGGCGTGTTGAAAACGGGATGGTGTCTTGAGGGAGGAAAAGCTAAGGTGCCTTTAATTACGGGTTTCAAAGCAACAAAACTGTCTACCTGACCAGCACCAAAAGGGCCGCAGGATGAAGGTATTTTAAAGAGCTGAATACTTGGGCTAAGTCGTTTATTCATGTGGCTGAAGAAATGAGAAATGCACTGAGTTCCTATTTATAGCAGTTGCTGCTCTCTGGAGTCGGCTGAAGATAAACGGAATACATTTCAAAAGCTGCCTGCCTTCCCTCGCAGACAGTTGCAGTATCTCCCCTAGGACCATGTAATGTCTAGGAGGCTGAACAGCAGCAAGAGTTCCGACACTCTAACCACTGGCACCGAGTCGATGCTGACTCAGAGCAACCCATCAAGGGTCCCTAAGATTGCAAATCTTCATGGGAGCAGACAACCTCATCTTTCTTCCAGGGGGCAGTTGGTGGTTTTGAACCGTGGACCATGAGGCTAGCATCCCCAGCTGATGCCACAGCACCATTATATGGAGAGCAAACTACATACATCTTGAAAACCAGCACGCTCCCTACACACACATCCAGATCCGTGTTCTGAACAGGAGCAATAGTCTCTCCTGAAATCTGCAATCTGACCCAAGTTCATGACATTGGGGGAGAAACTTTGTGTCTGTCTGTGTGTGAGTGACGGCAACCGGGGGCAGGGGCAAAGGAAGAAGGGAGGAAAGTGCGACTGAGAAATCCCCACCCCCCAACCCGTTATCAGCACACGCCCTTCAAAATAGAAAGAGCGTATCTTACCACGGAGCATAAGAAGCAGCAATGAAGAAATAGATCACCATTCTATCACCCATGTGAAAACAATGCTCGACTGTCCTAAGGGGAAAAACAACATGGGTCAATTTTTAACAAAATTTGAGATAGTGAGCTCGGGTTATCACTCTTTATGTGGCAATTCCTGTACTGTTTTACTTTCCCACGGGGTTTACAAACCTGTCTTCAAAGGCACACAACTTTTTAAATACAATCGCAAAGAAAAGGCCACCAACAGAAACTTGATGTACAATGGGTATTCTCCTGCTGGAGAGGACACAGCAGTGGACGTTACCAGGATCAGAATCTCTAAAAACATGTGCTGTGTTTCTTCTGAGTCCTGTCCGCATAACATCACATGAAATTAAGATGCCATCTGATGGTCTCGGTGTGGCACTCAGCTTGCCGAAATCACATCATGCTCTTTATGCCCATAGCACTTAGCATGTCTACAGAGCAGCTGTGACTGTAAAGGCCCGGGTGTAGACCGCAGGTTGTAACCAGGGACGCGAACAACCTAATCCAGGAACAGCTGTAACAAAGACCAGGAAAGGCACATTTGCTGCAAGAGCTGCCACCTGGCTTTCCCATCAAGTTCCTCCTTCCATATGGAAAAGCCAGGAAGTGCAGAGACCTTGGCTCACGGAGGTCTAGGCAGGAGATGGATGGACAGAGCCCGGTCTCCCTCCCCAGTACCCAAGGACTAATATTGAAGATGCAAGAGCACATGGGGCTGAGCTGGCCTCGCTGTGTCCACAGCCGGGACTTGTGGGTACAGACAGGGAAACACCTCTGTGAGCTGGAGTCATTTTCTCTCTAGCAGGGTGATGCTCGTTGAATCTCAGATAAGTCGAGCTCACCCACTCAACCCAAGCTGCTCAAATGTGTCTGAGCATTGCAGTCACATGGGGAGCTGATAAACTACAGTGAGGGACTACAGTCCAGAAAGTTCTATTTCCGAAGAGCTAGCTCGATGGAGCATATATTCTTTCCCTCTTTGGGTGGTTGGGATTTCCAGCCGGGCTTAGGGCCGTTGTAACAGCTCTCGCAACTGTGCATCCCAGCATGGCAGCAGGCAGTCTGCGTGCGAGTCTTAGTCAGGATCTGCCACCCACCTCTCTGAGGTCACCTTGCTCACGGGGAGAATGCCAGGACTACCTCTACGGCAGAGTGCGTGTGAGCGTTAAATGCAACGGTGGCGGTAGTTTGCTGTTCAGCACAGCACCTACTTACTCAACAAACGCTAACTCTTTCCTTTATTTATGTCAGGGCTGTCCTTAGACATTAAAAAAAGAAAATGTAACGCAAAGCAAAACTCTGCCCAGGGCTTATGATTCTATTTCAGGGTTCAAGAGTCTGGTTTCTATGACACCTCCCTTCGCAGCCCCTGGCAGGGAGGCCCTGAGAACCAGAGCCGGCCTCTACAACTCTTTATTGATTCAGAAATCTAGACAGCAAAGCCAAGTCAGCCAGGGCAACCACAAGCGTGGGTCGTGCCAAGAAGATAATGAAGTGCTCTGCTCCTGGACCGGCCCCTGGGCTTTGCGACAGTGTGTCTCGAGGAGCCAGCACAGGCAGGTACTCTCTGAGGCCCTGGGCACCCTCATGATTCCAGGCTACGGTTTTATTTTGAGCTCCAGGAGCTGTCACCTTAGAGGAAAGGGCTGCAGACTGGGAACTTCATGCAATACTTGGGAGGCTGTGGTGGAAAACAGCCCAGCTCTGGGAGCCTGACGTCCCGCTGCGCTCTGGCTCTGCTGCGGTCCCTGACTCTGGCACCTCAGGCCACTTCAGTTGGCCGCGGGATTGGAGCATCTCCTAGACTCGGTCCCGCTCTAATATCCTGTGATTGTGCCTGTGAGGAGCTCCCCCCCACCATCATTTCCTGCATCCCAGCTTCTGCTCTCGAAGGAAGTGGATCGTTTTAATACACATTGTTTGAACCGGTTGAGGTTTTTGGTTTTTCTGACATTCTGTAAAATCAAAAGGTCTATTCTTCTATTGTGCTTTTCATTCACTCTTGGCCTAATTCATAGGCAATCATTCCCAGTTAGCTGGTGGGCAGCTCTCTTTGTCGTCTCCCAAATTCATGCTTCACCTGCAGGGAGGAGGAACACCTCTAGCCCCTTATGTGCCTTTGGGTTGGGGGGCCTGGGGCCACTGTAGTGTTTGGAGAGTACCTGCTAGCTTGTAGCAGCAAATATGGGCCTGGTCTGACAATACAGGACCAATCCTGAGAGCCGAGCCTCACCAAACAGCAAAGGGAAGTTGTGACAGAGCTTCCTACACCGCAGTCCCACAGTCTCTCGGACTTTCAAACGGTCTCACCCATCTTATCTCATTCACTTGTTAAAATAATCCCGCGAGTCAAGCATGGCGAAGTCTCATTTTACTAATGAAGAAACTGAGGCCAGGTGACTGACTCAAGGTCACAGCTAAGTCATCAACGTCTGAGCTACTGCCTCTCTCCTTAGTTTCCCTGACAACATTAGAAAATCACACTCAGGCCTTTAAGCTGCAAGTGGTGGGGACCAGTGAGGTCTTGTCTGTGCTTCCTGAGGTTAGGTATCTTGTGTTGCTGACCCCACTGGCAAAGGCCTGCTTACAGAGCTACTACACATTGGGGGGTGGGGGAAGGGGATGCTTAAGTGCTGGCCAGCCAAACGCCCGAGTCCTAAGCAATGGGGCGCAGGGTTACAGTGCCTAAGGGCAGCGAAGTGTCTCCTCTTCCCATCCCCTGGGGGAAAGGACCCAGGAGGCTGGTGTGCAGCAGGAGCAGGCCGTCGCTCTACCTTAAGTGACTCTTCTTCCACGATACGACGTGAAATACTGTAGACACGATGAAGAGGGCGCAGAGGCCCATGCCGTAAATCCAGGCCGTGAGCTTTTCCCAGCAGTCGTCGGACAGCCGATGGAGGAGGGCGCTGCCCACGATGGCCGGGACAATGAGGAACTGGGGGGAAGAGGGGGAAACAGCCTGCGTCTGATTGGATCACGAGCTTTGCTGAAAACACACAAGTCTGCCAGGGGCGATTTCAGAAAAAGTGATGATCTTAAAGCAAATGTTTGCCTCTCCCGGGTAATCACAAGAACCAGGTGGAGTTGTGTCTGAGGCTGCCCTGGAAGCAGACTGCTATTCAGTACCCAGGAACCATGCCAGTCAGTGGGGACACGAGTAAGCAGTGAGGCATGCAACATTATTCAGCTGTGGCACAACAGATGTTCTTTATCCTAATTTAATTAAACAGGGGTGTAGTTCATCCTATTCGCTCATCTGATGCAGATTAACGACTTAAATATTCAAATGGCAAGCAGATATTCAGATTTCCCAGGGTGGTCCTACTTTTTAAAGTGGAACCTTTCCTGTTGCCCTTTGGAACCACTGAAATCCCAGTGTTTTCAGCAAAAGGTCAATGAATGAATCAAATCAGTAGTATATCACACACATACATGCTCTGGCGTTCAGTTTAAATACATGCATTCTACCGATTTGGAGGCCACTGGGAGTCAAAGAGAGTTTGGAGTTATTTAATTTTTAATAGTGCCTTTCACGTAAGCAAGGGTAATCCACTCCTAGGTCTACTTACTTGAAATATTTTAAAAGTGTAGCGTCTTAGAGAGAGATTATTATACCATATTTGACATTCATACAAACACAAATTCAAAGGTCTAGGTCCAGGGGTCCTCAAACTTTTTAAACAGGGGGCCAGTTCACGGTCCCTCAGACCCGTTGGTGGGCTGGACTATAGTTTAAAAGAAAACTATGAACAAATGCCTATGCATACTGCACATATCTTATTTTGAAGTCAAAAAACACCCAGCGGGCTGGATAAATGTCCTCGGCGGGCCGCATGTGGCCCGCGGGCCGTAGTTTGAGGACGCCTGGTCTAGTCAGTTGCTTAATGTATTTTGTAATAACAGAATTGCTTTCCTTGGTTTTTGGAAACGAATACAAGCTGTAGCGACAGTCTTTTCTCTCTCTCTTCCCCGCAGTACTCACTTTTGCCCTCTCGAGAATGAGAGCCCCAGAGAAGAGCAGCATGCGTTTTCTTTCTTTTTTGAAGAGCAGCGTGCATTTTCAAGGGTGGAGGTTTTCAATGGCCCAGGCCGAAAGGAGAAAACTACTGATGATAATTTTTTTTTGCACTGTAATATTTATTTGACTTACAGAGGTGTCATTAAGTGATTTATGCCCTCCCTGCCTTTTTTCATGTTAAAGCAGCCTCTCTTTCATGAAATGTAGATGATGGAAGATTTTTTTGTTTGCACGTTTTGGAAAGTTTGCCGGTCCCCTAGAATCTAATAAAGCTGGGACACAGCTTAACAAGATTAATATTCTCCCTTCCACGAGCATTAATGCGGAGGTTTCATCTGGTTTCCCTTCATTTTGGTTTGTGCAGCTAACTGTTCCGTCACTGTGTCATGTCCAGTTGGGACCCAGGAAGCTGATTCAGGGCCATCTGAGCAAGAGAATCCCCACAGCTAAGCTGGGCACCAATAGCCACAACCATGCCACTCAAATGCTCCCCTTTCTGCTCCGTAATGGACAACATCACTGGTTACTAGTCAGCAGTCTGGAAACTATCAGGCACCCTTCCTGACAACTTTCACTAAATTCGTCTTCTGCAGTTAGTAAAGGGAAAAGTAACTGCCACATCTTGAAGCCACTGGGAAGGAAAAAGGTCACATGAAATAACTGTTGTTCAAACTTTTAGCATCTTTCTATCCTATTCCTGCCTTAGACTTAAGCACTTTAAAAAAAAAGAATTTATTTACTTAGAGCTCTGTTAAATTTATTGACAGTGTGGTCAAGAATAAAAGATGGATACCCGTGCAAGGACAGTGGCAAGTTCAGTTAGGCCACGCAGTTCTAAAAGCCCAGTTTGGGAGTTAGGCCACGCAGTTTTTAAAGCCAAATTGGGTTCGGAGCATTCTGACCTTTCTGCTGCAAAATGCACTGCACGTGAGAATGCTATTAAGATCAGGGCAGAGGTCAGCTCAACTCTAGAACATTCCATGAAGTCCTTTCTGTCCCTGGAATCTAAGCCAAGGGTTCCAGAGAAACTGTCCATTAAAAGAGGTTACTCAGAATTTCATTATTTAAGCCCTTTTATGGAATCTAGGGCAAGCATGTCAGGTACTAATTTGTTTTTCCCTCCCAAAGAAAAACAAGTTTTAACAAGGGTCCTAGCATAGCAACTATTTAAATAAAAACCTTTTCTACACCCAAGGACAAAAGGGATTCGGTAATAAGTTACGATGTTATTACCCAGCAAATCTGAATTTGCTATCATCAGACCCAAAACAGGTGCTTTATCAAGTCTGATGGATGTCAAGTAATAACCGGATGGCTCTGTTTTATGAGCTGACACAGTAATTCCCCAAACTTGCCTTCTATTTAAAGTAGCTTCTCTAGGGCTTATATTTGGCTGAAAATGTATTTTAGTGTATTCTTGTGAGCATGTGTTGCTTTTCTAGGGCAGAAAAGAAGGAAAGAAAGTAACAATTGAGGGACCAAATGGGTTCTTCTTTTGGAACACTCTGGAACGATCCCTGCTCTGAGAAGCACCACTGTGGGTGTGGGGAGGAAGTGGCTGCCTGTGTCAGGGGAATCACTTAGTCAATACAAGAAGCTCTTTAAACCCAGCGTGAACTCTCCTGGCCCACGAGATGCTGTCGTCTTGAAGAGGTGTTTATTCCTCACAGGGCTGCAGGTCCTTGGGTTGGGTTATTCCTGTCACATGGGGTACTTGACTGAGGCAAAGCTCGGAAGGACGCTACTGGAGAACACATTCCAGGACGGAGCGGCTGGTGGGCTCGGGCACTCTGAGCAGTCTACATGCTCCCACCGTCTCTGGCGACAAGACCCAGCACCGATACGGTGGGAGGTCAGGTCTCGGGGAAGAGTAAATCCCACTCATGGTCTTGAGGTTCCTGAAGACCATCACCCCTTCCTCCCACGGCCTGCGGGGACTGCGTACTCACTGCGTGTGTGTAGCAGTTAGCAGCATGTTCGTAGCAAGTTGGTTTGTAGCGGCCGTTGGCTGGAGCCCGATGGTTCATGAACCTGTAGGAAACGAAGAGCCATCATGTGGGAACAGCTCAAAGCGCCTGGAGGACAATGGGGAAGGAAGGCTACCAGTGGTGGCTTGGCCTATTCTAAGCGAAGCGGTAACTGCTGGAAATACCTGGTTACCAGGGGCAGGCCCACAAGAACTGTTTTCAAAATAAATAAATAAATAAAAGCTACTAAAAAGGTGTAATGTGAGCCGACAGCTATGGTCCTAAAGTACATACCCTAGTTTATGGGATTAGCTATTCTTTCAGCGTATTCTAAAGAAAAGTCCCCACCAAGCCAAAACAAACAGAAACCGAAATTGCTTCTTTAACTGGGACCCCTAAATTCCGGGGAAGGGTGGGTGGTGCGGGCGGGCTCCACACAACTATTAACAGTAATCCAAAGAATTATTCTAAAGTTTAAAGTTGCTCGTCACTGTCCTTACATGAAAAGGGTAGGCAGCGTGGGTGGACAGGTTTCTATAGCGCAACCCCAGAGAGCCTCACTTGGTGGGAGGAAGGTGCCCCACTCTGACGGCGAGCGAGTGCTCTGTTGTCCATTTCAGTGGGAAAGATTTGCGGTTTCCTTCGGATAGTTTTCCACCTATACCGGCTCCAGCTTTCCCAGAGTTCACCGTACTTTCTCTCAAAATCCACAAAGCTCTGACCTCTACCTGACAAGGAGGCCTGTCCCACCAAGGTGCCTGTCCCCGCTTCAGTCAACTTAAACAGATGGCACCTGGCTCCCTCGAGGCCTCTGGAAACAGGCAGTACATTTCCCCTGTGCTTTTCCTCAGTTAAGAGAATTCACCCCAAAACCAGACACCCGACTCATACCCAAAACTCTGGCTATAAAATTCATATCCACACACAAAAGCATGCATGTATCTATGAATCAGAATCGCTCCTACACTTAGACACACATCTTGGTTCCACACTTCCCTGTGGGCTGGCTTTGTGACAATGGGCATTGCAATGACAAGCTCGGATAGCACAGAGCCTAAGGAGGCTGGCA